TATAGAGTGTTCATTTCCTCATGAACGAATTCTAACGCTTTCTCTATACTTTCAGGCCGCATACAACGAATACGTGAACCTAGGGGTTCTTTAAGGCCACGAATATAAGCCTGTAAGGTTAGTTTTTTATACAGGGTGCGCTTGGCTTCTATTGTGGTAAGTATATCCTCGTGCAATGTAACGTACGTCATGATAGTACTGAAAAGACTTTGGCACTTTTCATAAAACTCTTGAGGAGAGCTATCTCTTTGAGTTAAGAGAGCCAAGTCGTTATACAAAGCTGTCTCATCACGCTGATCAGAAAAATTATTTATTAGAGCATTTCTAATACCTAGCCAGTTTTCTGGGATGCCGTTTGAGTTAATTGTTCGCGCTGCATGACCAGTAACTTTGTTAAGAATCCCGTTTAATAACGATAGATTACTAAGTTCGAATCCCGGTTCCGCTCTAACGTATTGTGCTACTAACTGGTCACACAAATGTATGAAGCGCGTAAGTACGTTTGGGTTCCCGTCAAATTCAGGTAATAGGCGTAGAGCCTTGTAAACTTGATCCACCAATTCGACACTCATTTTACTTATATTATCACCTTCGTTCGAATTAAATAAATCACTAAGATTAAAACTATCTTCTAAAGTACTTTCTAAATTTCTATTTGCATCAATTTGCAAGTTTCTACTACTATTATATAACCTAGGGGTCCGTAATTCTCGTGGATGGAAAATTTTGGAATATTACAATTACACAAAGGAATATAAAATAAGGAAAGGTAATAGCAACTCTAGTAAGATCTAGGTACTTACCAAATCATTTGCATTTCTCTGCGGTATCGATAGCTTGATACTCCAACTAGCTGCACACCTGTAGGTTCGATTTAGCCGTTGCCCGTGATCGATTCACTGACTCTAATTCAACTAAATCCTACCGACTGCGCCAATTACGTAGGGTGCAGCCGAGGGATGCAAAAAAATGCAAATTTACTTAAAAAACTATATTTAAAAGAAATTACAATTAATTAAAATTACAAATAAGTGCTAAATGATCGATGTTAGATCTAATTATGAAACTAATAAAAATGGAATCCGATATTGTGCGGGGCGATTGACGTCACCGACACATTCCGCTGACCATGCGCCTCGTGCCTCCATTGGTGCCGTGTGGAATGTTTGTCGGGCCGATGCAACGCTGCGATTTAGGCGAGGTGGCTTTGCGTAACAAGCGCGTAAGAAGTTATACTTCTTTGGCATTATTAAAAATAGTTTTTGATTGCATGCAAATAATTAATTACAATTAAATAATCAAAGACTGGAAAAGGAGTCATTAAAGTCAATAAAGTTCAGTTTACATTTGAAAAATTAATTAAATAAATATTTATTATTATTCTCTTACATTAAACAAATAAAACACTATTTATCTTTAAAACATTTTTATTTCATTATACTATTTATTTTTAAGTGACTCTAATGTCTTCATCAGAATTTCGGTTTGTAATTTTAAATTAATCATTACTTGGTTGTGCATCTACGAGGCTTCTCCAAAACTACTTGCTTTCTGCAACAAATAAGAGAATATTAATTTAAGCTCTGTCCATGCAAAACTTAAAATTTTTTATAATTCATATTATAAATTTTTTAACACATTTATATTAATATAATTATATAAATGTGTTAATAATATAATTTGTAGCACATGCTACAGACCTGGATAGCAACTTTCTTTTATTCTATTTAGAGATAGAGATAATTTAAATATAATACCGGTGTCTTCCTTGTAGGTTTCTTTGGAGTTGTTTGGGGATTCTTGTTGTTCAGTTCGACATGATTTTCTTTAACCTTTCTTTAATCCTACAAAATAATGAAATTGTTAAGTTATGTTGTCACTATTGTGCACACCTTTGTTTGGCTTTTTTAGTATTCAAGTTATGTCAAAACTGATTTATTACCTTGTCATTGTTGGCTTTATTTGCTTTTGGGATATCAATTGTTTCCAAAATGATTTTATTTGTAATAACCTGAAATATATAAATAACATCTATTAATTTAAGTATCATGGTGAGTGGTTCGCACTCAGGTATTAAGGTGTATTATACCCACTGTCCATTATAAGTGGGAATGGGCTCACTTCTGGCAGGACAGAGTTTCGGTACTACAAGTGCAACATGGATGTTTTGAGGTATTACAATATCTCTAACTACCCTGTAGGGGAATAAAGTAATGTTGTAAGCATATGCCTATGCTTGAAAGGTTGAACCTTGAACATCACCATACATCATATTTATAATTAACATTCCTACCTCGACACCATCACAATCAAATTCATTGAAATCTACTTCAAACCATTGTGTCTCGAGAAGGTGATGGTGGCTTTGTTCCACCTCCAGTTTTTGATGTTTCACGGCGATAAGATGACAACTCTTTTTTTGTATTCAATTTAGTGCACTTCCACTGATTCATCAATTGTTTTTTGTCTCTTGTCCTTATATTTGCTAGATTAAATCTGATGTTTTGATTAAATAATGTGGTCATTTTTTTTGAGATGCAGGTACTTATTAAAATGTTTACTTCTCTGTTATATCGCTCCAAGCCTTCATTTTCTCCTTATTAGTATTCGTGCTTAAATCTTTGTTCTCAATTATTGATATATAGGGTCGTAGAATATTTCTAAAAGTTGCTGTAACAAACGCAATAAACAAAAGCAATGAATAATGATTCATGTTTCAGTTTTAATCAACAATAATACTCGATAATACATACGGATAGTTAACCTCAATTGTATTGAAGCACTCAGGAAGGTTAGCACAGTTTTTTCACAAATATTTTATATTATTTCACAAATATTTTGTATAATGAAAATAACTAGGTATATAATTATTAATTTTAAACAATAATTAAAACTCCTATATTTGTTTAAAAGGTAAATGTCATTGTCAGATGTCAATTGTCATGGTCATTCAAAATTCTTGTTAAGCTGCTAAGCTAGAATATGCGTGAAGTTAGCTTCACGCATATTCTATTTCTTTACTTGTAGTTTGTCTTATTCCCATCTCGCTCGCGCACGCTATATCACACTGCCAATTTTGTCATAGGTGCGCGCGCAATCGTAAAATTTCACTCTCATCAATTTTCATAACGCGCCTAAAGAAGTACAACTTCAAAAAGTAAAAGCATACAATAACAAGACACCAAGCGCACTTACTCACATACCACTCGGTTATGAGTGCACGTACATACACGCGAAACATGCAACACCAGTTTTATGTAGTTATGTGCGAGTAACGATAAAAAGTGTCGATGTAAAGTGTCGATAAAAATAAATAACATATAAAAATAGAGGAAAATGTTGAGTAGTAGATGTCATCAGGCGGAAACGAACTTGTTACGGGTTTTCTCTTCAGGTTACATTAGTCCGCTATACAAGCAGGATTCTAAGTCAAGTCAAGTCAAAATGATTTATTCAAATAGGTAACACAATGTTCACTTATGAACGTCAATAAAGAAATCCATATTAAATGCTTCTAATTTTACATTTACTGCCAGTTCTCAAATCAAGGGCGTAGAACGGAAGAGAAGAACTGGCAATAAACTCTCCGCCACTCTTTTTAATCGCCAAGTTTTTTGTTTTACACAATGTTTGTAAGGAGCTGCAACCATTACACCTTATTCCACATAACTTCTTAAGTAATGTTATATAAATAGTTAATTAACAATAATAAAATAAATTAATACAAAGATTTGTATTTAGATTTCGTGTTAGGGTTCACAGTCGAAGTGAATGTTCATGAACAAGACCGTATCTACGAGTTTGTGTGTTTATAAGGTATTATGGAAGTAAACCATTTGCACTACTTTACACACAAAAACAACACACAAACCACTATATAATTATTTTTTGTAAGAATATTTATTAATAAGTTGTGATACACCGAGACTCTATCCAGATCCAGGGGTTGTGACCCCTATGACCTCTGAATCCACTCAAGCATGTGAAGACGACTCGGTAGTTTGTATACGGTAAGGACAATTCCCAATGCAGTGGGTATTTCCAAAATTTTATAAAAACTAACATTGTCGACCTGGTACGTTTTTGAGCAGGTCTGACGGATGTCAGTATGATATGATATGTACGATACAAATAATATAAGAATGGACTTTGACTAATAATGTACAATGTAAAATTCCTTAAGACAAATTTGCGCGCCATTGTGTGTGACAGAATATGCGAACTTACAATTGTACCACGTTACACATTTTTGTACCATATTCTTGCAATAAATAAATTATTATTATTATGATGTTTGGAGGGTAAAATATGTTTCAAGGTTATGTCATCTTATAATCTCTGGACTCTATTCTAAACCGATATTCTATATACACGTATATTATTTCGTACTTTGGTCATACAATGCGTAGGGGCGACGAGAACCTAGTGATTGGCAACACCGAAGGCAAAAGATCGCGTGGGCGTTCGCCAACATGGACTGCCGTGCGATTCTGTTAATCCGTGAGTTCACCTCGCACTAACAACGCTCCCTTCCATTTTTAGAATCTCATGGTACCTATTCTGTTAAGCCATGTCACATTACGTCTTGACAAGCGGAGGGAGCTTGAAGTTTATTGTTTATCAGAATGCCAAATCGTAAAATGACTGCTTCACTGATTTGAGCGCGACCGCCGCTGCGAAAACCGCTGTGAGAGTTCGAAAAGTGAGTTACAGAATCGCAAGGATGATCAAGTCAAAGACTTGTCCTCACAATTACACACTGTTACAGGACCGAAATTGGTGGAGGAAAATTATTCGCGCCAGATCTTATTGTACTGACCTCGATACTCAGACATCAGTTACCAACCCAGAGAGTACATATACAACCCATACATAGTTTGGTTGTACATAATAAAACCCAAAATACAAAAGAAACAATGACAAAATTTTATTCACAATCCATTCATATGCCAAAAGAGAACACACATTAAATAAAAATATATTTAAAACTAGAGTTTGATTTAAGCGTATTTAGGTGACAGTTGGGCGGCCAAGTCGATGTATTGTTTCTTAGCGTCGTCCTTGGAAATTCCCTTGCGGTCAGACCACGCCTTGAATTTAGCGCTAGCTACGACGTCTGTGAGACCGGGTGCGGCTAGAGAAAAGAAAATAAGCATTATTCATACTGTTTAAGACAAGTGATATAGACTTATTATGAAACAATTATCAATATTGTTTGTTTCCGTAAAACAATTGATGAATATACAAAAAAAAGGGTGCGTGTACTTATGTACGCGCGTAAAAAGTTATACTTCTTTGGCATTATTGATTGCATGCAAATAATTAATTACAATTAAATAATCAGACTGGAAAAGGAGTCATTATAGTCAATAAAGTTCAGTTTACATTTAAAAAATTAAATCAATAAATATTGATTATTATTCTCTTACATTAAGTGTAACATAAATTCTATTATTATTCGAATGTTGTTTTTAAATTATGTCCAATGCCGTAGCATCTTCCGTGGGCAACTTCATTCTGTTAATTTTGTGTCACGGTGCGCACGCATCGTAAAATTTCAATCTCATAAATTTTACATAACGCGCCTAAGCAAGTATAACTTCAACAATTCCGAATAATGCAATGATACAAAACAGTATTCGTCTACATGAATACGAGAAATAGGTCTGATTGCCTACGATAATAATCAATGAGACGCAGAAATGTCTTTATTAGGGCGTACTCAAACCTAAGGTTTTAGAATAGAATAGAAAATACCAGAATGACCATAACTATTCTATCGACTATATTTGTAATATTTCTGTAGTTTCTATTATATCTATGTTAAAAATGTAGCTTGTTAAAAAATATGAATACGACGCGTAAATAATTATTCCTTTATCGCGTTTTTGGCGATCAAGATTGGCTTTGATATATAAAATATATTTTCGATTTTATAGACAAATTAAATGAATTTTTTCGAGCTTCATCTTTGCCTTAATGATAACCGTTTTTTGTTTGATTATTAATCATTTCTCGTCAGTAAAGATGACGTCACATCTGACGCATCATACTCACAGATGTTGACGTCACCGATGGTGGCCTGCTTGTAGAGGGAGTACATGGCCAAGTTCTCGTTGTCCGAGGGCCTTGTCTTCCAGTTCCTTACGGCTTCAGCTACCTTTTGGAATTCCTAAGACAAACAATCTAATTAAAAAAGATACAAACACGCGGAAAAATGAGTCCCCCCCGAGAAACCCTACACAATCGTGATGATATACCCTAAATAGATAGAGTCGAAGTCTAGCTGTAGATATTTGTGACCAGCCTGTGTCTATCTAAGTATCTTGATTTTTTAAACCAAAAATACTATAAAGTTGAAACCGAACCTAGGACTGACCTATTGAACATTACTGACTTGCACTAACCAGTTACTATGACAATCAAGCAATAATAAATAAGAATATTTTAAACTTAGGATAACTTAAATTATGAATATATTCAATTTGGTCAATATTTAGGCTTTTATTATTATTATATTATATTATATTATTTTTATTTAGTCTAAAATAAAGATCTTCGTTAGAATAATTAGGCGAATCCAATTACATGTATGGGTAGAGATTTTGTGCGTAAATATTTGCTTATCAAATATTTTTAATAATTATCGTGTTTGTATATTAGTTCCGAAGCTATGTAATATAATCTCAACAAATATATTTATCATTGATTAATGTTAACTCTGTTAAGTACTTACTGCGTCAGACATTCTGTTTGGTGTTTGAGAAGAGATCTGTAAAATAAATGTTTTAATGAGTATACAATGTTGTGGAAACATTCAGAGGCACAAGGACCCTACAAAAGAAGAGAGGAGTAGAGATCGAGATTTCCAGGAAGGCATACATCGATAAAAATAAGCAACCACACAATAGAAAAATGAGGTAAAAAGTTCGGTCGAATTTCGTACTAGAAACAGGGCAATGCAAACACATTTCACATATACGAATCTATAGTTAGTTTAATCACGCTTGATAATTGCGGCGCGTTTGCGGTGCCTACATTACCGTAGAACGGTAATGTAGGCACCTAATTATTAAACTAATCGGTGTGCCAACCCGGACTACTTTTTAAGTCTACGCCACGAGGTCTTCAAATTCAATGTCTTAATCAATTACTGCATCATTATCTAAATGTAATGAATCTTACAAATAGATTAAAATCTTATCGTTGGTATAGTAGAAACAATTTTAATCGAAGATAACGCAAATTTACGTGAATACAACTCCCATAATTTTTGGTTTGGGGATGACATAGAAGTATATATATATTGAGCAGTTTATATAAGGCTAAGCACACTTCTCTAAATTATTCCCGTGCGTTCGAACCCCGGCTGTATGTAACTTGATTGTAGAAGAATAAAATATGGTGATACGTATAAAATTTATGGCGCGTGTCTCTTCCAGAAGGCCCTATTCTATTTGCGTCTTTCCTTTTTTTTGGGCTTTAATATATACCTATATATTTATAGATTACGTTTGTAACGATAAACTTGTTTAACAAGTTTTCTTTATTAAATAATGAAAGATATAACACTGTAAAAGTCGTAACGCAATACGCTAAAAACGCCATTTGAATTCACGAAAATTCAATGTAATAATGAAAGAATCTTGCTGGTTGCTGCAAGATAGCAGGCTCGTGAACTAAGAAAAAGCTTTGTGATAATTTGATTCAAAATTAATACACATTACTTAATATGATAAATATTGATATAAAATTGCAGTTACTAGTAATCCTACCACTTCAATAGCGACACTTTAATAGCAAGTAGGCAACCAAAGGTCAAAGAAATTTGTAGATGTTCGAAAATTACACTTGATTAAAAGTGCAATCACAAAGTTATAAGTTAAATAATTTAGAAAGAATTATATGTATGTACTCACCAAAAGTGTAAAGCTAAGTGAAGATCAGGTCAAGACTGAAGAAAATTTCGCGATGACGACCATAATAAATCTTCGGGGACCTGCGCTTATCAGATAAACTTTATCTACTTTAAGCGATATTTTGTAAATAATGACTTTGTACAAATATTAAAGGCTTTCGTAGTAATGCAGTTTTGTCAATGTGTGCGTGTGGGCTATTAACATCGGAAAACCAGGAGGCACTTGCCTGTTATCTAATACCTTAACTCCTGTTACTGCTACTGAAATAATATATCGCTTTTACAAATATACATATAAAATCAGTTGCATAGAACTTAATATTAAGCCGTCCTATTCTAATTTGTATCCATCTTGTCAAGAGCGCTATCAAATGTCAAACTTCATACAGAAATGCTTTTTACATGATTTTTACAGAACAGTGTTTAAAGAAACACATAACCAGGAATTGGAGGGTTTTATTTCTGGCAGACAAAAGAATGATCACTCATTTGCTTTAGAAAACTTTTGCTCCTATTATCTAATTGTATCGTATTTTAATTTACAATATTTTATTAAGATTTGCTGTGTATGTGACCTTTTTAAAAACTTTTATTAGCACAAAATTTTAAATACATACTCCATAAAATCCGCGGTTAAATAATTTAAAAGTATATTATTTAAATAATTAGGTAACTCTCAACGCCGAGTCATAACTTTTTATGAGGTTCTAATGTAATACGGACTTTGATATGTATGTAAAAACTAATCAAAATTATCTATATATTTCTGAGATTGTAATTAATACAACATAGTAATAATAATAATAATCAAAAATTAATAAATAGAAAGATAAAACAAATTTAAAAAGTGTAGTCCCTGTGGCAGTGTACTTTTAACACTGGCAGCATTTCCTCACTGTATTGCAATACTAATTATTAATACTTATATTTTATATTTTGCGAAGGTTATGCAGAACAGAAGGTGTGTTACAATGTGATGTATGTTAAGTGAGATGTGGCCTATTGGAGAGCACGCCTGTCCAGGACATGTCTGTTCAACCGCCGCTTAAAAAGTATAACTCTATAGAAGACAAGCAATAGACTTAATCGTATTATTATCAACCCTGAGAGACCAATTAGTATGATCTTTCTCTGGGTTCGATTAACAATTGCTGACACGGTGAAAGTAAATATCGTGAATAAACCAACGACTGAGAAATTAGCGTCCGTGAGAATATTATTTCGCATCTCCTCCCAATAGTATATCTGCACTTTATAAAGAAAAATTGTTATTAATTGTTCTGAAGCTACAAAATAAGTGTCGATTTCTGTACCTGTTTCATGATCGTTTTGTCAATTTAATAGGCAAGTAGGTGATCAGCCTCCTGTGCCTGACACACACCGTTGACTTTTTTGAGTTTAAGGCAAGCCGGTTTCGACACGATGTTTTCCTTTATTGTTCGAGCGAGTATTAAATGCGCACATAGAAAAAAAGTCCATTGGTGCACAGCCGGGAATGAACCTACGACCTCAGGGATGAGAGACGCACGCTGAAGCGAATATGCCAACACTTCTCATGCTGTATTTATGTTTGTTGTTCTTGATGACGAGCCTACGAAACTATTGGAGTTACTAGTAGTTCAAAAGCTTCATAGATGTTCTCATATTATAATAATAATAATTATTTATTTATTGCAAGAATATGGTACAAAATGTATACTTAAATTAACGTTTGATTCGTAATGCAATCACACATTTTCTATGTTGATACATAGAAAATTTGTAAGGTTTGTGTTGTTGTGTTGTTGTCTCTTTAATAATTGTAAGAATAATTACAATTTATAAGGAGAAAATCTCAAGACTATTGATTATTGTCCTAAAGAATATAGAACCCGAACGCAAACAGATTAACGTGGCTTACATACGAGTTTTATCAAAACAATATAATTTTATAGTGAATATAAATTAAAAGTTGTAAATTCATTCAATTTTGTTCTAGATATTGATAAATTCAAATAAATTATAACATATTTACGCAATATAGTACCATCCTTGTCGGGTAATATGTCAGTGTGATATTCGATTGTATAACTCATTCTAATATTACAATATAAAAAATAGGTAGTCATATGATATCCTTAAATTTAAAATCAAAAAGACACGATCACTTTCGAAAAAGGACCTTTTTGAGTTTTAATATAGCTAATTATGATAAAAAACATAATTAACTTTACATAATTATTTTTTTTCGATAAAAGGCATTAATGATAATATATTTTGTCTTCCTGATTTCAAATTATTAGTCATAATAAATTCTACATCGGCTAGATAAATTATGCTTCCAATAGATTATACTTTAATTCGAATAGTATATTTTTTATCTGTCAGCGTCGAAATATTTTATGATTTTGGTGTTTTTGTCTTTTAATTTTCTCAATGCACGTGTAAGTGCACTAGCACTAACACTTTTACACTAGCACTCTTCACCTCCCATCCCAACATTATCATAGTCATTCACTTCTGTTGTGGAAACAAACGTTTCAACCATGTTTCTTTATTTTAGTAATAAGTTTAGTTTTTCTATGTAGTATTCTGGTAACGATTGTTAAGTTACAATATCATTAAACCGTTGGAAGAGCGGATTACCCTGATGTACAGGTCTCCCTAGACTTAGTTCAGGGGCTTCAATATCTGCTAAAATAACGTTACTTGTTATTGAATACGTGTTGCGTATTCGTGCATAATGCGTGTTGTTCTCACGAGAATGTAAGTGCGTGCTCTTATTTCACCATGCCTCCTGCTGATAGAGGACAAATCTTTGTTTTTAATTTTTTTTAATATTATTTATTACTTAAGATGTCATGTGGAACATGGTGTAATGGTGGCAGCTACTAACAAACATTGTGTAAAACAAAAAACTTTGCGATAAAAAATAGTGGCGGAGAGTTTATTGCCAGTTCTTCTCTTCTGTTCTACGCCCTTGATTTGAGAACTGGCAGGTAAAATTAGAAGCATTTAATAAATATTTCTTTTTTACGTTCATAAGTGTACATTATGTAATACCTATATGAATAAATTATTCGACTTCTTAAAATAAGAAAATTTGAATTTGAATCTCAATGTCGAGTTACACAAAAAACTCTATAAATGAAATTTACAATGTTAGAGCGTTGAAAGGAGGACGGTAAGGGTCATGGATGTAATGACAAGACAAATAAAGACAAAAGGGTGCAATTAGACTGATTTTTAAAGAATAAGGTTCTATCACTATAATTTTATACAATATATAGTATGGCCACCGTATAATCAAAACCGTTTCAGATTTTGATGACAACAGAACAAGACAGTGCGCATCTGTTCTTCTTTCCGCTGACATCTGAATCTTACACTTCTCTCTCTCTCTCTTTTATCTGCAGCAGAGTTTCATCATCGGACGTCGAGGCATAATACGAAATTTCAACCGTATCACCTTGACGTCTGTTGTTCCACAACTCAGCGTTTTTAAGGCAGTTTTGCCGCGCACCACCACTATGTGGAACCAGCTGCCTACTGAAGCATTTCCGATCCAATTCGACATTAGGGCCCTTCTAGAAAAGAGCGTACCAATTCTTTAAAGGCCGGCAACGCACCCTCGAGCCCTCTGGCATTGAGAGTGTCCATGGGCGGTATCACTTAAGATCAGACGAGCCTCCTGCCCGTTTGCCCTCTGTTTTTAAAAAAAAAGCCGTATACATATTTTCGCTTAGCTATACAAATAAATATTGTTACAAGGTCAAAAATACTATTTCCGTATACTTCACAAACACTGAACGATAAGTGAGATCAATGTTCAGCATTTCATTCATCTATGATAAAGTATTAGCTTAAACAAAATATTAAAGTTCAAGTGGAATTATTTATCACAAAATTATAAAAATATAACTTTTGTACACTTTCGTAGAGGTCGTATCAATAACGTGTTATCAGGCAAAAGATTACGGTTAACGATGCCAATTACTGATTATTCCTTAATCTTTGATAAACACACCATTAGTAACAGATGCGTTAAATTTATTTAGTTTTATTGTTTATCTATTCTCTATGGCAAGCTATATATTAAAGTGTTCTGGCGCAACAATCCTTGAAATTTCTGTTTTCTTGGTCATATTTCAGCCATGCCTGTCACACTGGCTGAATTTACAAGAATTTATTATAATTAGTTATAAAAAGGTTTAGGTTTTAAGTTTTTACTTGTTTAATTTAATTTTTATATTAATAGCTTTATATTGTATTAGTATTAAGTTACTGTAAAAAATAATATATCTTCGAAATTTGGTTCGAAGACAAATACTTGAATAAACTCAAACTCAAACTCAAACTCAAAATATCTTTATTCAAGTAGGTAACCAAGTACACTTTTGAATCGTCAAGTTAAATTAATCGTAAATTTACATTTACTACCAGTTCGCAAGTCAAGGGCGTAGAGCGGGTAAGAAGAACTGGCAAGAAACTTTCCGCCACTCTTTTTAATCGCCAAGTATTGTCATACAAATTGTTTGAACTGGAGCAATTCAATCCCAAGGATTAGGATCATTTAAGTAGTCCTCAAATTTATAAAAAGCTTTGTTGATTAATTTTCGTTTAACGAGGGCTTTGAATTTATTTAGTGATAAAGCCTATCGTAGCCTTGGAAATAAAATAAATAATAGATCAGTGCTACAACTATATATGGGTATGACATGCCGGTTTCCCCACAGCTTTCACCGTTTAAGCAATCGTTAATTTCAATAAGAAATGTTCATTGGCCCAGCCGTGATCTGAATCCTTTGGTGCACCTCATGGTTGACAGGCACAAATCACAATACACATTCGGAAAGACCTATGTAGACTTGGTATTACGTGCTACGAACACTATATGGGACCGCTATTGGAAGTGATGGGGTATATTATGTACTAATGTGTTAAAATCTAAAGGAATGTCTAAACTAACGAGACTAATATTAGTTTATTTCATTTATATGCAAAGAGTGACATTATGTCGGTTTTTCGATCCATTGTAGACACATTTGATAGAAGTCGACGATACAGCGAAGAAGATAAAGTTATATTTTTCGCTTAAAATTAATTCAGAGAATTGCACTTTTGGAATATCATTTGAGTTTAGTCTAATTAGTTTGTGGCTTTAGAGGTCTGGAGGCCTCGGGGCAACAAAGGAACACATAATTTTCCAAATCAAATGAACAATTTTTCCTATCAATTTATTGTGAAACCAAGTAGATTTTTTTGGTATTTAACAAACATAAAAATATATCAAAAGAAAGGTAGGAAATTTAATCCATTTTTTTCGGAAGTCTCTATTGTGGGGTCCCTTCTTTTGCGAAGGCCCCAGGGGCTGTAGACTCGGTTGCCCTGTCCTAATACGGCCCTGCTACAATCACTGCGAAGTCACGCAAAGTTATTCCGAGCGCTAAGGATAAATACATCTTTTTGACATAAGCATTGGGGGATATTTGGGCCTTCGGGCCGGCCAGTCAGTGATTAGACTGATCCTCCATTTAGGTCGAAAGAAACTAAAGACATGTAGAATTTTCAAAGAAATAAGTTTTCTATTAAAAACATAATTAACTGTAATTAAAATGAAATATTGCCAAAGAAAATCATTAGTGAAAAAATTTCAAAATTGTTAGCGTTACAAAAAATTATTTCGCTTATTATCTATTATCAACGACTACAAAGCCATTAGACATAACTTTATGATATTTTTTGGGGAGTTTGGCGCTTAAGAAATTTTAGCGGGAACATTTCACAGAAATATTATCTGTATAAAAATTATCGATTCTTGTCACACCTCTTTGATATCAACAAAATATCTAGTGGAAAAGTTTATATCTTATTTGCAGTACTTGATTATGGTTTAATCCATGACCCAAATATAAAGGGCTCGGCAAGCTGTCATAAAGAGACGCCATGATAAAGTAGCCGCCATCTTTTGATATAAAATCGAAATAATTCCAATTTATTTTCATGTATATTTCTTTTTTGACGTTCATAAGTGTACATTGTGTTACTTACATGAATAAATGATTTTTGACTTTGGCTTTTGATTATTTTTTGTACTTAATAGATTTTATTAGTTTGTGTCAGGGGAACGTTATAAGTTTAATTACTTATATAATTCACCATTTAATTCATAATTATTTAAATTTAAATAAAACTTCTTTGGATCTAAAGGCGAAAATATTACTTTATTATAGAAGTTACAATTGAAAATGCTCATTGAAATACTAAAGACAATGTCAGACCTTATCTAAAAACTAAAAAAAAGTGTTTTTAATATTTTTCATTTATTATATGCAACCTGGTGCTATTTTTATTCAACAAATCCCGTGGCTTGTATCTTATCATAAGGAACCATCATCGGATCAGTGGGTGGCATTTGGACAACGGCAGAGAGTACTGGATTCGGTTTTCCTTCCTTCAAAAGCAACACCTTTATCATTGCACCCTCGGTTTGACCTGTGACCGTTCGGAAGAAAATATCCGGATTAACATTCGTGAAAATTTCTTCCACTTTTGTTGGGAATTTCAACTTGCTACCCGGTGATAGAAGTGGAATCTGAAATTATATATAACTATATATTTATCATAGATCAGACAATGATAAGTACATTCATATATTGAGTGTTTCATATTTTAATAGGGCCTTTAAGATTTCTTAATAATTTAATTGCTTGTTTGTAAAGTAATGAAATTGAATTTATCATATTCGGACCTATGGCCACAGATATTAATGTTATAAGATAAATCTAATATAAAAAATTCTCGTGTCACGGTGTTTGTAATTAAACTCCTCCGAAATGGCTCGACCGATTTTCGTGTGCATATTGGTTAGGTTTGCGAATCGGACGATATATATTTTTCCACGCCTAAAATTTTATTTTTATTTTTTAGCCAATTTTTTTTGTTTTGATTTTTTTATTACAACCCTTAACTTTCACCTTTCTACGACCAACCCCTATTTTATTATAGTAGATAGTTATTTTTATTGAACTAAAAAAATGTTTCCTAGAAATAATATACATGCCTGAATAAAGCTAATAATATATATATAATCTTTTTTGGTCTAGCCTCGAGAGCAAAAGTGCAAGGATGCACTGGTACTCTGTTTCTATTAAAAAGCAGTCCTGAACAATTATTCCTCTTCAGAGTGCCGGTGCTAAGCTAACTTATGGTCCTTCAAAATAAGAGCGTAGCAATTCTTAAAAGGCCGGCAACGCACTCGCGAGCCCTCTGGCATTGTAAGTGTCCATGGGCGGTATCATTTAACATAAGATGAGCCTGCCCGTCAATAAAAAGCCAAAGCCCCATTGTTAACTGTACACAATACATATATTATTATTACTCCTAGTTCTAGTATATTTTTTTGTATTTATCTTTGTCGAGTTTTGGTTTCCTATGATAGTTGTTTTTAATTCTTTACATTTGATTTTGGTTTCTCAAAATCTTATAATAGGTTTTTTAGTATTTATAAATGAAAATCACTTTAATCGTTTTTTTATTTAAAATTACAAAGATGTGTAAATACACATCTTAACTGAAATCAGTAAATAAACTCAAAAACTATTGAATCTATTTCAAATATTCCCACATTATCCCTAAGAAACATAGGCATATTTATTATCAAAATACATTTAAAAATGTTAGCCGTGTTCTTATCTAGTAAATGTATTTATAATTATAATTCATATATTGCAAGCAAGCTAAAGTAATAATACCTGTAAATTGATAACTAATTGACATGATCGGATACAGAATATATTTCGCGTGCTGCTCTGCGCAACGGCGCATGACTAGGGTGGGCTGAAAATGAAAAATCTGAATTTCTTTATTTAATAGCAAGTTACATAGTTTTAGCAGATATTGGAGACCCTGGACTAAGTCTAGGGAGACCTCCACGTCAGGGGACCTCATCGTCAGTACATCAGAGTACTCCGCTCATCCTGTAGTTAAATGAATTTGTAACTTAACAACCGTTACTAAAATATTAGGTCCTTACATATGAAATTGGCGTATTTCGTATTGGCCACTTTAATCACGATTTTCTCCTCTTTGGTAAGGAATTCCAAATTCAAATTTGTACAGCTATTTACTCATGTATTTGTGCTTCGATGACCGTCATTCATTTGTTTTTTTTCTTCTGTTTTTTTCTGTTTGCGTCACTCATTTTACAAAATGGAAAACTTAAAGTATCGCATTATTTACGAGTACGAGTTCCGCCGTGGCACTAGTGCTGCGGAAACGACTCGAAGGGTGAATGATGTGTATAGCGGTCATATTGCAAAAGAAAACACAGTTCGTTTTTGGTTCCAACGTTTTCGTTCTGGAAATTTCAACCTGCAGAACAAGCCCCGTGGACGGCCTGAGACCCAAGTTGATAATGAAGTATTGAAGGCTATTGTGGAAGCGGATCCATCGCAAACCACGTCCGAGTTAGCTGCAGGCTGCGGTGTTAGTGATAAAACTGTTTTAATTCACTTGAAGCAAATTGGGAAGATTAAAAAGCTTGAAAGATGGGTACCTCACGAATTGACTGAAGCAAACCGGCAAACGCGCGTCGACTGCTGCGTTACATTACTGAACCGGCACAATAATGAAGGTATTTTAAACCGAATCATTACCTATGATGAAAAATGGATTCTTTACGATAATCGAAAGCGCTCAGCGCAATGTTTGGATCCTGGCCAGCCAGCCAAATCCTGCCCCAAGCGAAAATTAACCCCAAAAAAGTTACTTGTAAGCGTTTGGTGGACTAGTGCCGGTATTGTTCATTGCAGTTTTCTCAAATCTGGCCAGACTATTACGGCTGATGTCTATTGTCAGCAATTGCAAACCATGATGGAAAAGCTAGCGGCTAAACAACCTAGGCTGGTCAATCGCTCCACGCCACTGCTACTTCACGGCAACGCTAGACCACACACTGCACAACAGACGGCTACCAAATTAGAAGAGCTTCAATTGGAATATCTAAGACATAAAAAAAATATTCGACTTTTTGTTCCTCCAATACAAAACACCAATTTCATATGTAAGGACCTAATATTATTATAAAGTATAAAATTCTCGTGTCACAATGTTCATACTCACACTCCTCCGAAACGGCTCGGCCGATTCTTATGATTTTTTTATGTATATTCAGTAACCCAAAATTTTTTTTTATTTTTTGGATTAAATTTGTTATTTTTATTTTTTTATATGTGCCTTAAAAAATACACACAACCCCTAATTTTCACCCCTCTACTATTTATTCTCTATTTTTTATTTATTCATTAAAATCTTATGACTTGAACGCTGAGGTTTATATAGATGAAAATTCACAGAAAAACCTAAAAAGTTTTCATTCCAGAAAACCGAACAGTCTCTGGGGTAGCATAGCAAAATGTGCCATGTTGGTATGTACTAAAAAGGTAGGCTAAGTAAAATCACATTAAGGAGAAACGAAGTTCGCGGGGGCCGCTAGTATTATTATAAAGTAAAATAGAAAACTGAGACTTATTAGGAACTAAATATGTCATAATAATAAAATAAAATATTACGATTATTTTTCCAGATAACGATGACTATTTATTGAATAAACATTTATTAAATACAAAAATTTACGAATTTATTTCAAATCGTGACTACTTAGTTCGTTTAATCAGTGACTTCGTAATACACACACCGTACAAACTACTGCATATAGACTGTATATATATATACCATCATATAGGCGACGCGTCGCCACGATATGCGTCGCCACGCCAGAAATCGATTTTACGTGCGCCTATAGATGTTTCACATCAAAATAAAGATACAGGTTTACAAGGTTGAAACGTTTGTACACACTCAAAGTAAATGACTGCTAATGTTGAGATGTTAGGTGGAGAGTGCTAGCGTATAAGAGAGTAAGTGCATTGTAAAAAAAGAAATGATTAGATTATTTTTGTACTAGTTGTTTAATGTTTAGTTTATTCACAGTTTAGTGCACGTGCAGAGAAAAATACGTCGCCTTTTGAGCAGTGTAGGCCTAGTGGATCTAATGGACTTTTCTTCACGTTAACACTCGCTCGTTAGGTGACGGAATGCATCGTGAGAAACCCAGCATGCATTGGAAAAGAGTCAGACACAGAAGGTTGATCACGCACTTGCCTATAAAACATGATCATGAAACGGATAAATAAATCTTAGGCCAAGAAGTTTTAACACTATTTTCTTTTACAAATTATTTATACTATCAAATTTGGCAGTGGAATAACAATAGGGTGGCAGCGCTGGCAAAATGCCACGGGCTCCCGACCCAAGACGGCCAAGAGATACTATGTTCTATGGATGAATGTGAAGTCTCCAATACACATTGGGCTAGCGGGACTACAGACCATTCCCTCCCCTAAGAGAGGAGGATTATGGCCATTAGTGGGACATATACAACGTGTAATTGAGTACGCTGAAAATCTCGAAGTTTATTAAAATTAAACTGAGTACAACGTGACGATTTTTACTGATAGGGGCCCCATCAAAAGAATTTGCCACGGACCCCAGATGGTATAGTTACGCCACTGAAATTTGGGTTAGAGGTTCTTGAACTTTCTACGATTGAATTGAATCTTCATATGAGATTTATGGAATAGAGATACGCAGTTAGGCTGGATATTTGTATTCACATGTCACATGATTTCCACACAAGGCAAATGTAGTTTCGACTGCATATAGATATTTAATATCTTATCAATTCACCAGGTGGTAATCCGATAAGCTACTTTTTCGTTCATCAAAAAAGGAATGTCATCGATATAATTGTATGTCTGTTTCAGTTTTACAGGTGCGTGAACAAGTAATAAGAAGGAAATAATAATTATAAGTGGCCCGACTCCATACGATTGGCTACCTCCCTAACCTTTTAAAACTCTTCTGCATTAACATTTCTTAACCATATTCTATCCTGCTCAATCGTGACTTTTGTAATTCTTGTATTTCCATTGCATCGCAATTCATGAATCCGTGAGATTAGCTTTTTAGTTTTTAGTTTGTTTTATTATTATATTTTTGTATTATTTTAGATTTAGCAATTTAACCATCATATTTATTTTTTTAGTTTCTCCCTTACTAGGGCTGCCTGGAAGAGACCGCGTGTTAGCGATAAAGCCGCTCGTTGCATCCCCTATAACTTTTATGTATTATGTAATTTGTTTTGTATAAATATAACGAAGTGTGAATAAATAAATATAACCTCCATAAGGGAAGAAATAGCAGTAGATGTTCTACCCTCCTCTCGAAGTACAAGGGTAGATATAAAATATAAGTTAAAAGTGACTCTATGCGGTGGAGTCGTTTCCGAGACAGCTTAAACGATCCTACCTAACCTACCTGTCAAACTAAGACTAGCGCCGTTAGTATGTATCTATGCTTAAGAAATATAACATTTATGCTCAAGAAAAAAGAAACAAAAGGGGTAAACGTGCGTCGCTTGTTTCGCCGCATTAGAAAATGATGATTATTTCTTTAAAAAATCTGTCAAATACCTTTATAGAATGCGAACTTAAAAGGTTTTTGTTAATAAAACTTAAGTATTGTCATATCACTTACTTTTATATAAGGATTGGTGACCTTATAGCTTGTAGCGTATGTATGAAAGAGGATAGATAGACCGATCACTGCTCTATCTTTAGATGTGTTTTCAATGGATAGAGTCATACGAAATATTGGTCCAAGACCTTGTACCTGTAACAATTTCAATATGACAACCGATTACGTGTGAAGAATGAAGAACCTAAAAACAATATTGATCAAAGACGGTTCAGCTGTTTCGCAAAGACATAACATATATATAGACATAGACATAACATATACCACATAATAGGATTCTTCCATCTTAGAAAGTAATTGATGCAATTGATTTTTACCATTATATCAAGAAAAAGCTCAATTTTTTTTGTTTAACCAGAATAAAACTTAATTACTTGGGTTTATAATTAAGAAATTTAATGAAAGACAAAACATACTTTATATTTTCTATTATACCCGCATTATTACAATTAACTATATTTCAAATTACCCGCATAATTGCGCAAACGCTAATGAAATGTCCCTCTAAAAAAATGTGAACAATATTTCTCAAATTTTTAAACTTGTAATTTACAACTCACCTCGGCAGCTAAACGCACTGGCTCTAAAGCCCCAAGCCCCAAAGCGTTGTCACTCTTCGTATACGCTTCTAAAAGAGTCTTACCCGCAACTAGACGAAGTCTATTCAATTCATGACGAAATGTTACATGCATCGCTGGAATAAAATATTTTTCATAAACTTATTCTGAAAGAGCAGAAAAATCTTTGAGGTTTCTGGTGCAGTCAAACTCCGGGTATACATAAATTGATTTATTCTGTGCGGAATTGACTTCTTGTACATAGTATTGCCTTTGATTAACATAACTTTTATTCATTTAATAAAACACTATTTTGACCGGATTGAAGTTATGTATTATTATAAATTTACAACTATTTAACATAATTTTAAATTTATAATAATACATAACTTCAATCCGGTCAAAATAGTGTTTTATTAAATGACTTCTTGTAAGTAAAAAAATTAATTTAAAAGGTTTGGTCAAAGCACCAAGTCATTGTTTAGAAGCGCGGCATCCAAAATTAAACTAGCCATGATGATCGCCAACCTTCGCAAGGGCACTATAAGAAGAAGAAGTAAAAAATAAGCATCGTGAAAAGACGTGTTTAGACCCAATATGCGGGCATAAAAGACTGGCTGATCACCTATATAAGATAAAAGAAGGCTCTAAACTTGCTAAGACCCATTATATATACCTACATCTTATATCTTTATACAATAAATATACTAGTATAGATAAATTTTAATTTATTTCAATAATACCCACCCTTGGCATTCTCCCTTTCCCTCATAGATTGTTCCAGAAAAAGTTTGGACTTTTTTGGAATAAGCCATGGCTTTCCTATTGTTGGACATGAGGTCTCAATTCCAGCCGCGTGTGCAGTAAAGTTCGCCGTTCGTCTTAGGATTTTTAGCATTAGGTTACCAGCTGTAAATGTTCAATAAATTATTTTGAAGCTTTCATACCCTTGACAAATATTAAACGTTGATGTCTGAGTAAGTTTTGGTTTTAAATCAATATCAAATCAAATAAATGGCAATAAGTAGAGAAAGATTCTGTATTTAAGACATGTGTACAGGACAACGTCTGTCGGGTCCGCTAGTATTAGTTATAAAGAGTGTAAAAATTACTTACTTGATGTAATTATTGTAAAGACGTGTTCCTCCTGACCAAGTTGGCCAAATTTTATAACTGATGCGATATCTAAAAAGATATTTTAGTAAATTAAACTTAGGTCATACTGGATTACCAATTTGGTTTCATAGAAAAACATTCTACCATAAAACACGTTCGAATTAGTGAATTAGTGTGAGTGCACGTTAGTCATGAGTGCTAAGCAGTGGTACGTGGAAAAATAATAGTACACAGCATGTCTTCCACTTAATAGAGACTGTAAGTAGTAGTATCGGAAAGTTTCGTATGTTCAATATCCTTTTTAGTAAATTAGGTTAGTTTTAAATCACTTACTAGTCTTAAGTTAGGCTAGATGGTAAGGTTAAATGATGTCTTTGTGCAGAGACATTTTAGCAAAAAGATTCAGCAGTTAGGTGAATCACATTTAGATCATAGATCTAGATTATCTTTCCAGTTTAATTGTATAACATATAAATTATAAATTAAACGGATTTGTAAGTATTAATGTCAAAATAGATAAGTAAAGCGTTTACATCGGTGAAGTATATTTTATAAATATTCCAACAAAACAAATCATCCTATTTATAGTTGTTTTCTTTAATACCTCTAATAAACATAGAGTCCCGTTTTGCCTTTCCATCATATAGATTCAAGTGGCCCGAAACCAGAGAAACGGCAACCAGGGTGACCCCAAGGTGCGTGACTGGGACCTGTGTTATTGCTACCGGATGGCAATCGAGTTGTAGCCACCATTGCTTGTTGCCCTGATATTTTAAAAGCTAATATTACAGTATACCTTGATTTTTAGTATTACATCACCCGTTAATAAAATCTCTATAAATTATATTGTAGACACTTCGTTGATACGCATTTTGAATGAACTATATAACAATTGTAGGAATTGGATAATATTCAGCTATCATCTTTCAAGCGCGTCCACTAAATTATGTAGGTTTGTTTATGTTTGTCCACCCATTTAGTAGTTTCTGAGAAATGAGTATTACGAATTTGTAAGGAAATTATCACGTGACAATGCGTGATCTAATGTCATTCTCATACAAATTAGTAGTTAGTAGGTCACGCCTGACGTAAAGTGATTTTGTCTAAAGTCCCTGGACATGTATAACATATCCTATTATATCCTGAAGTTAAAAAGTATTTCAAATCGATACGAGTTTTGCTTACATACCGATGTGTGCATCTTAACTCTTATGATCGACTCAGCTTCGATACAATTCTGAGCTTTTCTTGACTTATTTAGTATAGTAATAGCTAGTAGATAAGTTCAGAAAAATGTCAGTATAAAATCATTAATCCAGACAAAATAACACAATAAAATACCTTTTTACTATAGCAGGAGAATGTTTTATCACAGCAAATAACCATAATACTTTTATCAAATTCCATAACTTCAATTGCAATTATATGGTCCTCTGTCCTAAACAACTGGCGTCCCTCTTTCCAATCTCTTTTGAGGATACATACACATTTATTTCTGCAGTGGTCCAAAATACATGTTAATTTTTTTTCAAAACATTAAAGAAAATTGAAAATACTGTTATATTTATACGTTTTGCAATAATAGCAGTATTGGCCTAGTGCTTTAAGCGTGCGAGTCTCAACCCTCGTGCGATGTGTGCAAAAAAACACTTGCTCCATTTTTTTTATAACAGGGAACAAACGGCCAGTTAAGTGTACCGCCGCTCATGGAGACACTCAATTCCAGAGAGTTCGCAAGTGCGTTGCCACCCTTTTAAGAATTGCTCCTACGGTGAAGGCAACACAAAAAATATAATCAGACACAGAACGCTGATCGCCTACTTGTTTGTAAAAATAAAAATTACGAAATAAACTAATGCAATCTGCGGTAGTAGTAGAAGTAGTAGTAGCGCCACTGGATAATTATTTTATTTTCAAAATTCTGACAAATTTCTATCGAATTACAACATTTATCATGTCTCATTGCTAACTATATTTTAAAAGGCGTTAAAAATCAACCAAATGATTATAAAATCTTGACACTAGTTTCTTAATATACAATGAATTTGCAAGCAAGAACCAAAGGCTTAACGTAAACCTTTTAATTAATAAAAATAAAATATGTTGGCTATGGTCAAAAGTGAATAAATAAAAACTTATTTTACTTGATGTAAAAGAAGAAAGATTGTGTAAGCATAAAACAAATGCGCCTTTATTTTTGAGTGTAACAAGCATGTGTAAACACAATAGGTGTTTAAAATTGTACCTTGTGGCCACAGTAAGTCGGTAGTCAATATTGAATAAACCTGTCGCTACTATTTGGTGTGGCTCTGATTTCACTGTGTTTAGCTTTGCCTGCCATTTAAAATAACTAACACTAATACAAAAGGTGATTTGAATATTTATATAATATGTTAAATCTATCCATTATATAAGACATCATATTTTATGCCTATTTCAATAATAAGGAAACAATATTTAATAAGTTACCAGTAATAAGAAGCCTTAGTTTAAGCTTACAAATAATCAGTAAAAGGAACACTAGATGGCGCTATAAGCACTTAATTACGATGTAACTATGACACCCGAATTGTCCCGTATGTCAAATTCTATTTCATTTTTGACATATAAAAGTAATACTTAAGTTTTGCCTCTGTTACCCTTACAACCAACTGAACTTCGTAATAAGCTAATTAAAATTTATTGCAATTAGAATCTTACTTATAAATTGTCATTAATTATTACTTTGATATAACACTGTTATATCAGTTTTAACTATTTTTGACTAGGATTACACATACATACAATCTAAACAAACATACCTTAGTAATTTCTGTAAATGTATGAGGGTCTAGCACAACAATCTCTCCCTCCTCTGTTCCAACAATAAGACAGCTTACAGCCATTTTCTCTGTAGACCTCATTTTCATTGTTGTCAAACATGCTATCTCTGTAAGTTCTTTCTGAGGAACTTCCACACTATCTAAGTATTCAAGTTTTTGATCCGTTGACATTTGTAGGAAATATTTTGACTGGCAACACAGATTGTGTGGTAGGCTTTGTAAGTCCTTTGATAGTTTTATTACAGTCTCTTCATTTGCAGAATCTTTCAACTGAAATATAAAATTAAATGTGTATTAATGAAATGTTATTTTCAATAAATTTGATAAAATAGGAATTGTTGCTAGCACCACTGTTAAATCCTAATTAGAACACCACAGTCAATGTGTGACCATGCAATAATTGAGAGAGCATTCAGGAAGAGTATAAAAATTACTGTTGTCCATTTTTTTGAATATGCCAAGTTTAAAGCTATAATATATATGATTGAAATTAAATTTACAACTATGAAAATGACATTGAGTTTCAGCTAGAATCAAATACATGTTTTTTTTTAATGTAACAGAGGTAAAATGGGCTGTAGTTATATCACCGTTTATTACACCTTACACAGCCAGAAACCTTACTACTATGTTGGCAGCCTTTTAAGAATCGGTGTAGGTACTCTTGTATTAAGTAATATATGTATTTATAAATTTCTAAAATGAGTTTCTCTCCCTATAAATCTACTATAAAAAATTGAAGTTCGTCAATTGTAGACCAAAGTATCCAATATTTAATATAAAAGAATATTTACATTACCTTTTCCCAAATCTCTGTTTCACTTTCTTCAATCTTACTTGAAGGCAAGTGATATTTGTAAAATAATTTAAGATTCCTGTAAATATAGATACAGGAGCTAAATGCCACAGCTACTAATGGTGGAGGTCTTGGCATTGTCTCACTGGCATAGAAGCTCACAACACCAAGAGGGATATCGGGTAATACAATATCAGATATTTGCATGGTTCCTCTAAATATCTGAAAATGATAATTTACTTATTAGTAGCCAGAATTTTAATAAACATCTATAACATAGCTTGGCACAGTTAGTTTATTCTATTTCAACCTAAAATAATAATATAATTATGATAACTATAAATCTTAACTGTTAACAAGTTAACTCGAAAATTAAAAACTTATAGGTGTAGAGTACATCTTTGTTCATTCTACCTTTAATTTCGGAGATTCGTTGCCGATTCCCATATCACCCACTAGGAGTTTAAACTCGTTGTCGTTAATAACATCCACTAAAGCAATATTACATGGCAAAGTATTCATGTGTATTTCACTTGTGCCCACTTCAACGTCTAACCATCTACTTATTCTAGCCATCATTCTATTCTATTCTGCAAAATTTTGGGAAGTCTACACTTAATTATTTCTATATATAATTAAATTTAAATACGGTTCACAACCTGAAGCCAGGCAGTTATCGTACCAGGGCCGTAAAATTATCGTATATGTGATCCATATACGATAAATTATCGTACAGTCAGGAAAATGGCTAAAAATACTTTAAAAAATCATATGAAACGTGAAAATAAAATGTTGCAAACGATTTATAGTTTAAATCTTGTAAACTTGTGTTTTTCAAATTGAAAAAAATAATAATAATTCAATCTCTTCCGTCAAAGAGGAACAAAAATACGCAATATTTTCTCGTTGAACAATATGGTGTTTGCTCTAAGTGATATACCTATTGTCCGTAAACATCGCATATTATTTTTATCACTTAAAATTCGTTAGGTATTAAAATGTTATCGAAGACTTCCAAATCTGCGTCACCATACAAATCGTGAATTTTTTGGCTGTGCATTCTTATGCGTTTTTGTGTTTGTACATTAACGCTTTGTTCATCTGCTGTAGTTGCCTTGTGACAGCATAAGTTCCTAATAGAAAAATAAACCAATAGATGGCACTGACACTAAAAACTGTAATTTTTATTGGGCTATCTGTGTAATCATCAAATTTTTTATCAGACTGGAAATTATCGTACAATCTGCGTACGATAGTCATGTACCATCGTACATCGTACGTAGTTATGAAATTATCGCAAATGTACGATAATTATCGTACGGTTGTGAACCCTGATTTAAATACGGTAATCGATACCGTCAAACAGAAAAATATTATTTGGATTAGTTTAGTGTTTATCATGTTAAAAATCGTGTTACCACGACAACGGCGCGCAATTTGAATTTTGAAATGTCAATTGTCATAAATGATACAATGTTGCATTAATTAAAAGCTAATTATCCTTGAATATATTTTATTAATGGGCGTGTTTGGCCGAAGTAAGTACTTACTAAACTTAGTAAGCCAGTAAGCATAAAAAAATTAAAGTCTTACAAGCTGACTGTAGCGCTTTTCGGCCAGGACAGACTTACTGGCTTATTAACATAACACAAAACACCGGTTTATGTCATATCCCGTACATAACCTCATAGACTGAATATAATTGACAGTACTAAATTTAGGAATATAATTTAATACCTGTGAATAGTTTCAAATGGATAATTTTATGAGAAATATTTTATTGGATATTTTATTGTCCGTTTTGTTTACATCAACAATAAACAAAATGGCGTCGTATATTAAGCCATACTTACTGCGTTAGCACTTATTTTGTGTCCCGGCCGAAAATTTTGTAGGCATAGTAAGTGACTTACTAAATTTAGTAAGTACTTACTTCGGCCAAACACGCCCATTGAATACAAAGTATAGTTAATCGCGGTAACCAATAAACAACCGCTGCTACGACGTCACCACTCACCCCGTTCAAAAATATATGATCCGTTAATAGCGCAAAGTCAACGGTCTTATTTTATTTGTTAAACTAGCTGGTGCTCTGCGGTTCCACCTGTTACCTGTAATAACTCGGTCGTAGCCCGATGCTCTAAACTCTATAGCGTAGAGCTTTTCTCGGAAACTTTTAAATGTACAAATATATTTTTTGTTTTGATAGACATGGTATCGCGGACTTTATCTTAGATGATGATAATGTCATCTCTAAAACTGTAATATTTCACTTTGCTCTATTGTCAATAGTTTGCGCATCGTACACGATTTACGAATTTTAATTAGTTCAATTATTCACACCTTGAAAATAGTCTAAAGCGTTCATCGGGGACAAGGTAGTGTTCAAATTGTGAAAGAATTTTTCAAATCAGTCCTGTAGTAATATTCGAGGCAAACGAACAATCAAATCTTTATAATATTATATTTGTAATTAAGTTGCGTCAGACATCCTAGCGCAAATAAAATAATTGTTTCAAAATAAACAATTTAAATAAAAAAGTTTTTTTTTTTAATACAGTATTGATAAAAGTTATAATGATAGCTATTATTAAATTCATGAAATAATAAGTGTGTAGTTATGATTAACATAATTTAATGAAACAATTACTTTAGTATTTACAATTGATGTGTAAAGCAATATATGTAGCTGTCCTTACGGAGTAACGTAAAGACGAATAACAAAGACAATTAAAGTTTACTTTAATTGTCTTGGGAAAACCAAATGAACGAGAAGGGTAGACATTGTTTTCAAATCGAAAAACATTTCAAACTGATATTTTTGAATATGTCGTTATGTCAAAGTAGTTAATATAGTTTTTTACGTTTTATACGCGTTTTGCATTCCCTACTAATGCTACTATAATAATTTAGGATTTAAGAGAACATTTTTGCAGACATAATATTGCTTAGCATAATATTGGAATTCCATAATCACTTTCCTGATGACTCACGTTTGTTACTAGTTATTCTACCGGTTCTCTTATATCTAGGAACACGTCTGAATCAGTAACCTGTTTTGAAGTTTTCTCAACAGCTACACCATTAAAAATAGGATTTGAGTTTTGGTTTGTTTTATCTCTCTCTAATCTGTGCCACGTGCTACCGTCCGCTAATGAACATTTATGTTAAAGTACGTACATAACATTATATTTAGTGAAAACTACGAGATAATTAACTATATACATTATTGTAAATAAAATTGTAGCGTTACCATACGGCCTACCGTAGTAAAATATAATACTTATCGGCAGTGCTTCCAGATCCCAAAAGTAAAATTACAGTGTTGTCAGCTAAAAAATATAGTAGTTTCTTAAAACAATACAGCAGATTCCAAATTCGATTACAGTAAAATTACAGTAAAAGTTTGTTTAAATATTAAAAGAAAAATAAGATGCAGTATTAATTTATTTGTAAATACATATAAGTAAGTTATTCTAAAATAATTTCCTCATGATTTTGATAAATTTTTGCATTCATCTTTAAAATCATTTCATTAGTGGGATTAAATTTGACGCAGTTTTCAGAATTTCGACGAATGGCTTGCTGAGCTAACATATTTCCTTTAATAGTATTAGTGATCAGACAGTTCCTCTGCTTGGTTTTTATATTATTAATTTCACTAAACTTGCGTTCGCATTCAGCGTTTGAGTGAGGCAAAGATAATACTTGCAGCATAAATCGAGGCAGCAAATGGAATTTAATGTCTCCATTGCTATCTTTCATTTGAGATAACTGAAATAAAAAACAAATTTATGAAATGTGAACATAAATATGTGCAAGATTATGTAAATAGAGTTCTTATATAATTAAATTTTACCTGATGCCAAAATAAGTCTGCTGGTTGACTTGTATTCCAATGTATATCATTCGCAATAAAAATCAAGTTTCTCCATTCGTCATCTAACGTCTGTTGATCATTTAAAGTTGGGGGTATCAGCCTTGGTAACACTGGGTACAGTGAAGACAAAGACTGTTCTCTATTATCTGATAAGCAAGAATCAGGATTCAACTTTGCGATTGAGCTCAAAACTGGGTCATTTAAACTGTATCTTTTCCGAATGCCCACGCATGCTTTAACGATAAAGTTGAGGCATTTCTGTTTCATCACTGTAACTTCTTCGGTATTCGCATGTAGCTCTAGGACAGCAACTTGATTAGCAACACCCAATCCTAGGTATATATCTTCCAGATTTATGTAATGTTGACTATTAGTAGGGTCAATTGCGTCGAGTGGGGTGTTTTTAATATAATTTGGAGTTATGAATAACGATAACAGTTCTCTGTATAGCTCAGTCATTTTGTTATGGGCTTCAATAATAACGGGATCTTCACTTTGAAAGAATACGTTAACGCGGGTAAATTTTGGCAGCATCCAACATAAAAAATAAAAATATGCCTTGATGATGGGATCATTCAAAAGATTGTGAATGTCTTGGCAATCCTGTTCTTCTAGCCATTTATCGTCATAATATAATCGCAAGGCATCCCATTGCTCCATGATTCTGTTCACAACACTGGACAGCGACAACCAACGCGTTTGAGCTGGACGTAGAATTTTGTGAATATTAGTGTCCGTAAATACTTGAAATTCTTTTAGCTCCGCTTGACGTTTGTTACTATTTTTGAAATAATTGTAAATCAATCGAGTCAGTTTTTCTGCATCATGAGGCAATTCTTTACAGGCGTCTGAGGCACATAAATGTAAAGAATGGCATAGACATTTTAGCACGATAATACCTGAGAGAACTTTTCGCGTTTCAAATCTGCTACTAAACATTCTCTTTCAGAAGCTCCGATGACGTTGTTTACTACTGCTTGTAATTTAGTATGCTTAAGATTAATGTTACTTGCAATTTTAGAATCTGGGAATATTTTTGGAAGTAAATCAACAAGATGGTCCATCACTATGTGGGATATTTTATGTTCTGCCATAAAGGCCGATAATTTAATTTCCGCAATTTTTCGTCGCTCATCATCACTTACACGTTGCTGACTCTTAAAAATATTATCAATGGTACGCACATACGATTGCCCAGGAAAACGAAGTTTATGTTTAGCACCTTCACCGTGTCTTTTAATAGCACCTAGATCGGCAGTTAAAGAAGAATCGCAGACAGTGCAAAAACATTTATAAGCAGATTTTTTGTCAGGTTTTAGCCACTTATGAAAGTCTTGGATTTTAAGCCATTCCTCTCGAAATTGTTGCCGATATTTCTTTTTTGCACTTGACGGACCAGCAGCGCCACGAACATCACTTTCTTCACTACTTGAGCCCATTTTTACAATAATATAGTTTTGGTTTAATTTACGCTATCCACAAGAATTAAAAAGTCTTAATCTGAAATAAATGTATTTGCTCGGCGCTCGCTACAGTAGCAAAGCAATAAAATCATACCAATCAAAACGTAATGAATGAGATGGAAAATACAATGTTGCTATGTCAGACAGAGACGGTTAGTTTTTGCTAAGCGTTAGTTCTGATTCATTGGGGAATTCCCCGCACGTAAACTATAATATGTAGGTAACAATCCTACTCT